AACAGTGAAAACATATATTTGCTAATTATAACGCATAAGGATTAAGCTCATTTCCATTTTGAAATTTTGTGTAGTTTAATAAGGCAATTTTGTCACTTGCTGGTCAGTTCTGACAATGAACATCAAGGGACTGAATCTATAGTTTCTTAATAAAGCTTTTTTGAATTTTAACTATGGAAGCTTGGATTTCTGAACTAGGTATCCTGTTGGACTTGATAGTTACCTGCTTTCTTATGATGAGTTTGTGGAAGTGCTGGGGAAAAAAAAGCATTGACAATAGTGTGCAAGTGCTTAACTGCTTCTGTTGCTTTGGCCAACTATTTTTTTATGCTGGGATCTCTGTCAGGAAGGAGCCGGTAGGCTGGTGCTTCGTCCAAGTTCAAAATCTGTGTATTTTCTTTCCTGGTTCTCTTCTCTTCCCATTTTCCTCTGTCCTGCTCCTGGAAGATCTAGAACTTCCGATACACTGACCTTAAAGCTCTGTAGCCGGATTTGAGAAACATTACAAGCTAAATTGCCAACTTGCTATTCATTTGAGAAAAAATTATTTGCTGTTGTTTTTTGTTATTTCCTGGTAAAAAGCATTTAGTTATGTCACTCATTATTAAGACATTACTTAATTCTTTAATTTAAAAAATCATTAAAAACCCACAAAACTTCCCTAAACAACTTTTTGAAGCAATAAGTGTTTCCTTAAAAAATAAATACACTATTGGTATTTTGACACAATTTTACCCCTTCCTACTTAAAAAGTAACCACTGTACATTTTCTGTATCACATCCAGCTTCCCAGAAATCTAAATCTTGACCCACTATTCCAGACATGTCGCAATGGCATAGCTTTGGAGATGTTAGCAACCGTGCTTTACAAATTTAATCTCTCCGTATCAAGTCTGGTGTATGGATTTTTAACTATGTTCCATTTAATTCTATCTTTTGCATGCGTACCGTACCACAAAGATTATTCATTGCCCTTGAGCTAATTAATTTTCTTTTAAAACTAATGTGTTTTTGTAACTGATGCATTTTTTCAACTGAGCTATTCCCCAAAGAGCGATTGTTGTGCATGTGTCTGATTCTTGTGTGTTAAATTAAGGCTCCACTGAGACATAGAGCAGGTATGACGTACTGGCACCAACTAGGCAAGATGTTCTATTGTCTCGGTTAAAAGATCCCCTACATGTGTGTATCTCTGAAGGTACTTTGGCCTATAGAAAATGCTTGTTAACAAAACACATACATTTGCTAATTGGGGATAACAGTCCACTGGAAACTTATGGCACAGTGCATTTCTCAAGATGTCTTCAGACACTTTATTGTTCATGCTTGTTCATAGATGAGCAAAGTGTGGTTTGTAGATTGTGTGTAACCCTCCATCTCCACCTCCAGTCTTGTGCCTCTGATGCCCAACTGATGGGGGGGGGGGAACGAAAATCATGAAAATTGTCATTTTCTGTAGGTTTTTGTGTTAAGGTGGGGACACAAGACAACCTATTCTGCAAAGGCAGATATCCCCATCTCAAATATGGAAGTCAACCTCCGGTTAGTGGACTATGGAAAGATACCTAGTTCTATGCTAGCTAAGAAGATCTCAGCTGAACTGGTCATTTTCTACAATATATGTTTATGAGCACATCTCTATATCTGAATATGGCTATGTTGAGAGCCAGCATGATGTACTACGTTGAACACTGGATTCAGACTCAGGAAACCAGGGTTTGAATCCCTGCTTGGCTATGAAAACCCATTGGATGACCTTGGGCAAGTCACACTTTCTCAGCCTCAGAGGATGGCAATGGTAAACCCCCTCTGAAGAAACAGCTAAGAAAACCCTGTGATAGGTTCACCTAAGGGTTGCCTTAAGCTGGAAACAACTTGAAGTTACACATTACGCACGGAGCTATATTATGTTGTCTATGGGATTCTTATTGTCTTTTTTTGTACACAACACACACATACACACTGGGCTATATTATATTGTCTATGGGATTCTTATTGTCTGTGGGATTCTCTTTTTTTTTTGTACACAACACACACATACACACTGGCCTATATTATGTTGTCTATGGGATTCTTCCCCAACCCCTCCTGCATTGCATTAGCATGTCAGCTTTTCTTCTGGAGTGGGACTCATGTGGTCCTCCAATGTTACTTGACTGTAATGCCCAACATTCTTCACCATAAACTATGCTGGCTGAGGCTGCTGGGAAATCCAATCCCACAGCTACACAGTTCCCAACCTCACTGCATATGACTCTTAATGATGGGGTAGTATCAGACCCAGACCTATGTGAATAAGTTTGCCACCTTGAGTCCCTATATTGGGAGAAAGGTGGGATATAAATACAGTGGTCCCTCCACATTCGCTAGGGGTTAGGGGCACAGGACCTCTGTGAAAGTGGAAAAACTGCAAATAACAAAACCACTATGGTTTTACTTGAGAGGACACCTCTCTAGGTCCTCCAGTGCAACTCTGTGGTCAACATCTGCCAGACGTTGACCATAGAATTGCGCTGGAGGAACTACAGATGCCTAGTAGATTGTTCTCTCTAGGAATCTCTAGGTCTTTCAGGTCAACTTTTGGTTAAAGTTGATCACAGAGTTGCACTGGAGGACCTAGAGATTCCTAGAGAGAACATACTACTACAATCTGTGAATAATCAAATCCGCAAAAGTCAGATCTGCAGATGTGGAGGGACAACTGTAAATAAAATAGATAAAATAAATAAAAGGGATAAGGAGCCTTGAAAAATAGCAGTGGCTGTTTTCAGAAGAGTGATGCTACCAGTTCAATCCGCCAGAGGAAGTTTGGCCTGTGGCTCACTGATTCTATAGCGAACAAAGCTTTGAAACAAAGGAACGCACATTGATTCTCTCCCGGCTGTGTCTCTGTGTGTGGAAAGAATCCGCACTGAGCCTGCCGAAACCTTTGAGCAGTTCCAGAGTTGCTCTTTGGAACTGAGCCAATCTATGTTGTAGTTCTGTGTCTCTCTCCGCGTGTGGATGCTCTTGGACATGCTCCGCCAGCCAATTTCTCATGGCAGCACATTGCTGTGAAGCTGCCACAGAACTCTCCTGGATGAGAGCATTTAAAACACTAGAAAATGGCTGCAGTCAAAAGAAAGAAAAAGAAAATGACCATTGCTTGAGGAAGACATAGGGCTTTTGGGGCTTACAGTTCCTCCCAGGTAGTGTGGGTTGATTCTGGGAGCTGTAGTCCAAAAAGCAAATGAGCCCGTGTACTGGCTTGAGTGTTGGACTATGACTCTGGAGACCAGGGTTCAATTCCCCACTCGGCCATGGAACCTGCTAGGTTACCTTGGACAAGTCACACTCTCTCAGCCTCAGAGGAAGGCAAGAGCAA